TGAGGGGTAAAAGTGTGCGCCTGGGATAATTCCTCAACGATAAGCTTTGTTAGATGGAGCCTTGACCTAATTATATGCAGTGTTAAAAGAAAGCAATTACGGAATACGGAATATGCCAAGGTGACGTGTAGACATGTCGCGAGGAGACACCCAAAATAAACATGCAGTCTTTTCCTACATTTTGACCCCGTCCTTTTCAGTCTGCGCCTCGAACAGAGTCAGATATGAATGCTTAGAATATATGTCAACAATTTAAACCCATATGAGGAAACTACAGAATTTTGCACCTCACGCAGTAACACCAGGTTGTACAACCGTCGTGTGGTCACGTTACTAAATCAATTGGGAAAAACGACAAACGAAAGAGAATACAAGTAATACTGAGGCGTGCACCATCGACGAGCGGAAATTAAAGCTACGTTGAAGTCAGGTGCCACCCTGGACCATCGTAACGGACGATGATAGCAGCGCGGTAAATAACGCTAGGGTGCCGCCATCGTATATCATGCATGCGACAAACACATATGCTATCATTTTGGCTGAAAGACACTGTGTAATCCATAAGTTGTGGGCTTACTGACTGCAAATAGCTATCCAATGTACTTCTACTACGTTTTTGCACTCTCAAAATTCACATGTGCTTCTTCATCTATTGATATCGCCTCGGGTGTATCGTGCTCGAGTGGTATAAAGGTTTCTGGTCAACAATTGTGGTGTGCTCCAAATTTAATCATGTATCGCCAAATGTACGATTAAGATTTGGGTAACTCGCGATTAAAGCAAAATCGAGGAAGTAAAGCCCAGTGGAGCATGCGTGACTTATGAGTCGCATGTCTCTTGATCGTAATCAAAAACACTCCGTCTCATCGTTTCTTGAATGTAGCTTGTGAATAAGTCAATTTGTGGACGTTGTAGTCGTCATACGACATCGATGTGAGCAAGGTGCGATATATCCACCGCCGCGAAAATTTCTTCTTTCTATCTCTTGAACTAATTATGTGTTCAATCGCACCTGACAAGCTGGCCTTGAGTCGCGAAATATGCTCAGCGCAAAGTCTTTTCATTCTACGCACTTAATTATCACGTTGGCACTAACCGACGCATCGTATATAACCCACATCACAGAGACTAATTTCGGTGCAATTTCTTCACCATGAGCGTACGACCATTGCAATCGAATGCATTCATCATTACGGAAAGTAGCATTAGTCGTTGCACAATTGTTCATGTAAGTGCCGATTTGCACACACTTTTTATCATCCATATGATACGTTATTCCACCTCGTACGAAATCACTCACAAGACTATTAAACCTCCATGTATTACGGCATGTGCACGAAGTAGCACCGAGAAAGCATCAAAATTAGGCTTTGAGTGATTTTGGTCTTGTACTATAGCTAGTGGGATACTTGGCCAAAATGTCATGAACAGCAAAACCGAATGAATCATAGTAGCTTACGTGAGTCATAAGCTATCCGTTATTACTGTTGGTACCGTAATGGATGTCCACACGTAGTTTAATGATGAATAACCTGTATCATGATAGAATCGACATTAATGTGTGCGTCTTTTGCATTCTCATATTCTGCTCTCGCAATGCACACCCAGCATATGATTGCCAAGCCTTTAATGCCCACAGACGTCTCTTGCTTTTCCCCAGTAGAGCATTAGACGTTCTTGTCATCTCTTTGATCTCCATAAATGCACTCAGAAGCTCGCCCCCCTTCAACAATGCTGTGGGTCGACATTTGTTCAGCGTCTTGCGGTATATACGCACTACGTCACATCATTCTTATACCGAATTACTTGCATACTAAGACTTGCGCTAGGTCACATCAGTTTTATCCGAATACGGCGGAGCTCATTCTGGACAACATGCCGTATTGCACGTAAAATGCGTCAGTAAGCCACAAGATAACAACCCTGGTGTATATCTACCGAACTTTTGCTGACGTGGCTCAGAGTCCTCGATGCGCCGATATGAGGAATGGCGAGTAAAGGGTGCCAGTGACAGGATATATTAAGTAATTGGTCGCTTGGATGGTCAAATCAATGAGCAGCTATGGAAAGAAGACGAAATTCATCCTAAAATATTACATACGCTCTGGAAAAATGCACCATCCCTATCATTTTTTTAACAGCTCTTGCTGAAGCGTTCATTTCACGAAACTTACATCGCATGCACCACGCCAATAATCAATCCGGATGCCATCAGACGGAGGACAAGTAGAGCCGTAATTGCCTGTTGTGGAGATTATCACCCCCTTCCTGATCTTCAATTTCTGTTACGCTTACTAATCTTTTCGCGAAGTAATTTAGCCACCATGTCAAACCAGTGGCTTAGCTATGCGGTCCAAAAACGCTAGAACTTCTTCCGACGTTTTGTCGACGCAGAAAACGGGCGCCGATATGACCGATTCAATGATTGCGAGCCCGAAGGGTGAATGAATGAGCCCGAAGGGTGATATTATTGACTCTGCGCTATGCCGAACTTTTTTAAATCGTACATATCAATGTCTGTGTGTCTGAGTGTCTGTAAAAACGCACGGTGTACTTTACACGTCGTACGAAGAGCAATTTGGTTTGTTACATGCTGTGTACGTAAGCAATGCTTGTTGTACCTCGCACATCGTATTATAGGTACACAGGCCTATCCGAAGTCATTCTTTGACAAGGTCTGAATTGTGGCGCACGCTTGCAAGTAGCCTAAGATCGATTGAGGGTGAATATCGTCACACAAGCAAATGCCAAATTCTCCTAAGCAAAGGCTGATCGCGTTGCTTGGGAATGCTTTTCTGAATCAATACAGACATTAAAAGCTTCATAAGCCATCTTTAGTGACTGCTGCTGTATAATGTTTTTCAGCTTGAATCAGTTCCATGAACTATATTACTTATATCAAAAGGCGATCTCCAGAGCTTGCTCTTCTATCTATTATCGCAAAATGGATCGCCTTACACACCGAAGGTAACACCTCTTTCGATCTATATCCGAGTTCGACTGATACATGAACTCACCATTCCTTATTAGTTCGAGAAGAACAGCTGTCTCATGGGCTTCATTTGGAGTGCTTTCCGTCATCACATTAGCGCATCCGGTTGGTAAAGAAATGGTGTATTTTTAGAGTCTTTGTCGATAGTACTTTTAAGCACATCATTTTGTTTGATGCCATGCGTTGCGTCCAGAGAAATACGAGAGCTTAGTCAACGCCGCCATTAGCATCGGCGACCTGTTTGCCTTCGTCTTTGCCCTCAGTTTTGCCCGTATATTTTGTTGCAGTGCACATCCCCGGTGTCTAGTTACCAACGACTTTGTCCATCGACTTGGCGTATGCGCTCTGCATCTCTTTTGAACTGACCACCTTAATTGTACAAATTCGCAACACTCACAAGACAAGATCCCAGTATCGTCGGCTACGAAAAAAGCCTGTTTGTTTGCCGTGACGACGCTGACTTCGTAAGCTTTTGCTCAACTCACTTTGCTAAATCGATGGCAGCCGCTATTTAATTATGCCTCAAGAGAGAATATGACTTTGCAAATGTCTAGGAACAATCATGTAGCACGTAGTGTCGGCTATCGTTAAATTTCATGAGCGTTAAGTGCAGGGTACTACAAGTGCATGTTGCTTTTAGACTTTAAATTTTTCAAGCTTAGAATAGAAACTAAAGCTTGTGAAAGTCTAGTCGTCATAACTTACTATACTGTATGCTTGTACAGGTCATCCTGTCCAGAACAACTGAATTTGCCAGGCTGAAAACCGACCTTTTTTTGGCGAGACAATCGGTTTTTGGGTAATGCATTCAAACCCGATTTTTAAGCAAAAAAGACCATGGTTTTTATTTGGCTCGATGAGCAGGCGTCTAGTGGACATAATTCGCTGCCGGAATCATCGTCACCGTCGTACATGTAGTCGTAGAAGGTTGGCATATTGCTCTCAATGAACGTGTATTCGTTCCGTCGTTTTGGGTTGAGGCAGTTCCTTGGCCTGAGTGAATGTCGCCGCGATCACAAACTCGGTCCACTGAATATCAATGATCTACGCTCGTGTTTCATCGAATGAGTCGCGGGGCTCGTCGTCTACAGAAAGCTTAACCATGACGTCCTCCAGCTGGAAGCAGCTGTCTTTTGATTGTCCTACTCCGATAAATCCCGAGAGGTGAGGGTATATCATTGGTACTTTTACTCTTCTTTTGGTAAACAGTCAGTCTATTTGTGCATGCATTCGGCAATCTTAGCGTTTAGTGGAGACGTATCATCGGTAAGCCAGTTCCATACTGCACTAGAAGAGCGACCACGTCTTCCTCCTGGCGCTGGACTTCCATATCAATACCATCATCAACGACCATTCTGAAGTCCAATTTGGCGACCTGCGCGTCTTGCCGCTAAAGGTCGATAACGTCGTCGTTGAAGCTATCTAAATGCTCATCAAACTGGCTTAACGAAAACGACGATAGCGACATAGTTTTAAGTACCGCTACGGGATGCTTATATCGCTGATCTACCGAATATGGGATTACGTCTATTGGCGTCCATGCATTGCAGGGATCGGCGGTCGACCGAACCGTGCGTGAGTCACACGATATTACCGGGGAATAAAACCTCATGAAACCTGATTTTAGAAGATCACAGGCTGTCGGGTTTTGCTAAAACCATATAAAACAATTAATTGTAAAAAACCAATTGGTACCAGTCCTGACATTTGCAATGCCTAAAACGTTGATTCCCTGACTCTTCCTGCCTTACATTCAGTGCGCCATCTTAGGTCTCGTTCTCATTTTCGACCACTCCGGTCTTAGTAGTTCGAAATGGTCGCCCCTTCTATGGCCCTTGGTTAAAACGCACCAAAACCGACACGAAGCTTATAAACTTCAGTGGAACTGTCCGATTGAGGTGTCCACAAGCCATTCACACTTTGTAGCTCTTCAAATTAAATGAACAAGAAGACCAAGTCTTGTGACACTTCTGCTGCGCCGGGCAGAAAATGTCGTCTGCCCTTGATCATGAAATTGTTGCTGGGTGCAATTGGTGCAGGAACTTTGCTGCTGCTGTCGGAACTGAGCATGATCGACGAGAGCAGCCCCGTGGTGCCGGTGGAGTATCCGAATGCCGAGATAGAAGAAGGGACCGACTTTTAACCGGACCGAATCCTAGAGTCCGAAATGGGGAAACGACGTTGAATCAGCTGATTTGGTGCACCTCGGTCTAATGCAAGAAGCGTGCCTGAAATACAACGATAATGTCGTGACGTGGAAATACGGACGAGGCGGCGTGGTGTGAGTGAGAAGGTGAGGTATATTTAGGTACGCGAACGACCTGCTATATCATGTCATCCGGCAACAAAGTTACCTGGTCGACCGCTACTTTATATACTAGGTAGCGCTAGTCCTCGCACAGCAGAGCGCCTACGCGCAGACTCCTGTCTCGAGATAATCAGGTTCCTCGAGGTCAGCCCGGGGCCCTGTATGACGAGTTGATGGTCGGCTTGAGAGGTCTCCAACCAATGATTGACATCAGTGTCAAGGAAGTTTGAAGCCTTCTGGACCAGACCTGGGTTCGAGATAGCGTGCGTTTGAATAGAAGATCCCGTTTCCATAGCGATATTTGCCAGTCGATCCGCCATTTTGTTGAAAGTGCGGTAATGATGTCCCCATTTGGCGACATCAATATCGTTAGCGATGGCACGTGCTTCGTTGAATAAACGCACCAAGTGCGGCTTACGTGGAGGGTGTTGTGTTCGGAGTTGAGAAAGTACAAGCGTACTATCCCCAATGACGTGCAGGGGTGAGTAGTCGCCTGTCTTTGCTTGCCGAAGACCATGCACGAGCCCCCAATATTCAGCGACATTGTTAGTGGTATCGGCAGATGCATAAGCCATACTTGATACCCACAGAACGCATGCGGCGTGAGTCGGAACGTGTAGTCGTACAATCACAGACCCGGCTCCACCTGGACCTGGATTTCCGCGGGATCCGCCGTCAAAGAAGAGGAGGTAAAGCTCGCCAGGGAACCGGTCGATAGACCGGACTAGTAACGAAGGAGGTTCATCGTAGCAGAGTAGGGTATCAGCCAAGGCCGACCGTACCTGCGCAAACAGTTGCCCATCTTTCCCCCATCTCGGGCTGATAGGTTGATCGCCGAAACCGTCGGACCGACCGACGAAAGCTCGTCTTGGCGCTGGCTGTGTGCACCTCCTGTGATAACGACGAGTCTTCCATGCGGCCGAAGGCGCTCGACCCAGATTGCATGAAGGGTCGTTGATACGACAAAACGCCACAGCTCTCTAGCTGCCGGAAATATAGCAGCCTGAGCTTTTGATAAATTAGCGCCTGGGTCCATGGATTGCTTAATTACATCCCAGGCGTAGGGTGGAATCGCCGGGAGGTCCAGGCCAAACACCCAAACATTCAATTCAGCCTCCTGGAAAGTTCCAAGCCATCGCCACCGATCAAGGAGAAACTCCCAGTGACGTCGCGCACTATAGCATGTATAAAAGATATGGCTTGCCAGAGATGGACCAGCATTCGCACACTCAGGGACCGGGCAAGACAGATCTTGCTTCGCCCAACTCCAGAGAGGAAACTGTTACTCTTTAGCCTATACAGCGTCTGAGCGTTTGTCGGAAAGGACGCTCGTATTCGTCGAATATCCCTCCAAGTAATCAATGTTGTACCTTCCGAGATCACGTGAAAGTCTGTCGTTGCCACACGTTCATCAAGAAGTCTAGTCTCTACAGCACGGCGCCGCCGGGTGATAATCTGTTTCAGTTTACGTCGTTGCGGCCGCCACCTTCGTCGTCCAGCCCACATGTGGACAACGCGAGTAAGCGCCGGATGCGCTCCAAAGTGAACAGGAGACTAACTAGCTGTTGACGCGGCTATATCGCATGCCGCCATCGACGCGACCGGTTGCACTCCACATTCCATGCCCGTATCGAAATGTCTGAGCGACTTACCGTCACCAGTTAGAAGCCAGTCATGGAACTGGTGCACCTTTGTAGAGTATGCAATCACAGACCCAGGCTCCAGTGGTCGATATACCAGTGACGGGAAATTGTACAGCAGCGCGAGGCAGAAGGACCCAAAATGCCGTCGCTTTGCCATAGACTGGGACGCCATGTCACGCGTAGGAGAGAACAAGACCATGCCACTCTGCAGGGTCGTCCACGTCATTGTCTCGCCAAGGTAATTCAAGTTTTGCGCAAAGTCGGCCCCGTTCAAGCTGTATGCCTTACCCTGTCGATCTCTGAGCCACGACATATCCTTAAGCGTGGCGTGGGCCAGCCACCGGTGGTCAAATCGCCCTGATGCTGCTACATCAGCTCGCATTCCAACGCGCAATCTGTCATCAATAACCCCCCGAACATCAATTGTGACACTACCGTCTTCATTATAGGCGACTGCGGCTCTCGACGTAAACGACAAGGCTCGTCTACAGACCTCGCTGACCGCACCTTGGCGTGCATGTTGAGCCGAAGAAAGTCCAACAATTTCAGACCCGGTCAGCCAAAGCGTCGCGCGATATCGAGGGATCTTGTCATCCGTCCAACAAGGCGTAATGTAAGCCGTACCCGCCCCGGTAGATCCCCATAAGAAGTCACCAATTAGTAAGTCTCTCGAAGAGACAGTAGCAGCCCATTGTCCAACTGCTGTTGCCGCCATTGTCATCAATTCCGTCCGAATACAGGGACCCCCTAGTCCTCCCTGCTGGATAGGTAAGGCCGCTATCTCGGAAGATACCCAGGGTCTGGATCGCTTTCTATCTCGGACACCCCATACAAAGTCCATAATTAGCTGTGCAACCGGGTAACCACTGCGGGAGGAGGCCATCAGTGCCGTGCTAAGAAGTTAATTTTTGGGCACCGCGATAGCACTTGCTAGCAGAGCACGTTGTTTCACTGTGTGCGTCTTCTCGCGGGGAGGCGGCGTGGTGTCAAACGCGAGTCGTGACGTTTTTTACAAAAACGACGCTCAGTTGCTGGAAAAAAATGCGTCAGTGCCCAGATGTGGACATTTATGCGCCCGGGGGTTTCCAAAACCACGGCTACTGCGAAGACTCGGCTGCCTATGTGAAATGTAAGCTGCTGCTGAGCTAATCTGGTGCAGGTTGGTAGTAAATGGCTTGAGGTCACCGACTGACGTTATGTTTCCGGCCGTGTAGTTTTAGAGTCGCGAATACTTCCGACGTGGGCACTTACAATGAAGTACGTGGACAACGCAACGAACGAGACGTTCTCGTACCACGACTTGTGTCCGAAGACGCCCATGCTCTTTTTCAGTCACTACTGGGATGGCTTCCCGGGGTCGCCGGATTGGCCTGTAAAGAAACCGGTGTATCTCATGCCGAACATTGAAATGTATGAGCTGACGGCTGAACATTATTGGGCTGTGGACGTCGTGCTTTGCAAGACGGCCATTTGTGCGCGTTATGTACGAATGTGGCATCAGCAAGAAGGCGATCCGCGTCATACAAAAGTGCTGTACACGAGGCACACGACGTCAGATATTGCATCGCTGGCGAGGACTCGTCTTGGGGAAGATTCAATTAAGCCAAGGAACTGGTCGGATGTGCACTTTGTCCACTTTATCGGTAGAAGCGTCCACAAGGGAACCGGTGCTGTGTTAGATTGCTGGCTTAGTCGCCCAGACTTTCCACCTTTGGACGTCTACATGGACGAGAGGTTCTACGACGAAAAGCTGAAGGCCGAATATAAAAGCAAAACTCGAGACTCACAGGTGGTGACTATTCATCGAGGTCGCGCTTCTGCCACTGAGTTTGGCAAGTTGATTGTAGAATCGGCCTTTTTCATGTGCCCGAGCAAGACGGAGGGTTACGGCCACTACATAAACCAGGCGCGTGCTAGTGGCGGTCTCATTGTTTCGACTAACTTGCCGCCCATGAACGAGCTCGTGACTCCTGCGTCTGGTGTGCTTATTCCAGCAAAGCGCCGAGCGTATTTGCGGCAGATGCTTGGAGGACGGTTTGAGGGAGAGCATGGCTTGAAAGGGGTAGATGGGTTCGTTGCCGCCGTTGAGGGGTCCGGCGTACGTCAGGCTGTCGAAGCAGTGCTAGCCATGACTCCGGATGAACGTGAGAAGATGGGGGCACGGGCGAAGAGGCAGTATTTCATGGATATGAAGTTTTTTGCTTCGAAGATGAAGGAGCTGCGGGCACTTGCCCGTGGAGTCGGGGGGGGCCTCAGTTTCGCTCTACAGACGCTGTATGAGGTGGCTTTATGTACATGTAATGTGAAAAGAATGGGTGACAACAGGAGCTTTTTTTTTTGGAGACTGCACAATTGCCATGTCTGTAAGTTTGGGCGGTGCAGAAATGAGGGAGTTGGCGGGCAAGAGCGGTAGCTTTAGAGAAAACGAATCGATCCATGTGCCAGTCTTATGCAAAACGTACATTGTCGACTCTGAGGTCAAGCAAATCTTCTATTCATTTATTAGAAGGCGGGGTTTAATTGCCTCTTAACATCATTAATCTTTGTTCAAGACCTGTGTTCGAGAACAGTCCTCCCCCCATAAGTTATAGCCTTGGTCAAGGCCAGGTCCTATAACTTATCAGAAGTTATTCCATTTGGGAAAAATCAATTAATTAACGATAAAAAAGCTGACTATTTATTATTTTATTACTTATCAATACAGCACAATATATGCATAAATATTAGTATTGGAATCACGATTGTCATTTATTGATCAAAATAGCGGACCACAGAACATCTTCTTTGCCCTTCTGGTGGGGGACGCGTCTGGGCACCGCCTATGGAAATTATGGAGTCCTTGTGCGTACAATGCATTGTCTTTGTGAGTGCATCGAATCCAACTTGAACACATTTAATTGAACACAATTGATAAAATTGTATCACACTCAACTGAGTCATTGAACCAAACACAGTAAAAGTACCTTCGTACACAGTTAAAGTACTCTACCTTGTTTACATTTTGTGCGCGATTGCGCAACCTTTTGCAACTCGCCTGGCGGGCTGGCCACCGGGGATCGGGGAAAAAAGGCACCCTTTTTCTCCCCCGACCAAACAAACATCCCTACATTCCTACATCCACACCTCATCTCCCCTCTCGCTTTCCCTCTCTCGCTTCCTGTCCACTTCCATTCCTCTCCCAAACCAACAACTTCCCTCAAAAACCCAGATTCCCACACCTACCCACCCTCCCACCCACTTACCCACCCACACATCAGAGATGTTTCAACTACGTCTCACCAAAGACCAGAAGCTGAGGATCAATCAAACATAAGGACGATCATCCGAGCCTCACCCAGACAGAGCTTGGAGACTGGGTGAAGGGGGCATTCGGCCTCCCCAAACCTATGATGCAGGCCTAAATCAGCAAGATCATCAGCAAAAGAAAAGAGCTTGAAGCAATGAGTCCATCAGAGCTCTCTGCTAAGCGTCCCCGTTCAGTTCAACATCCTGCCTTGGAAGAAGCAGCGGCCCTCTGGATTTTGCAGTGCCAGAATTGTGGAGTTGCCCATCACCGGAGACCTGATCCGTGCCAAAGCTGCAAGCTTTGCAACGTCCATGGATATTCTGGATGGATCAATCAAATTTGCCCATGGGTGGCTCTACAAATTTCAGCAGCGCCACAAGCTAAGGGCCGTCCGTATCTAATGGCGAGAGCGGTTCAGCTGATGTGGCTGGACTTGAAGCAGCTCTACCAGAGTTGCAAGCAGCCGTCGCCAAGTTTGCTCCCCGTGATGTGTACAACATGGACCAAACTGGTAAGTTCTCTTAAAATCTTTTATGCTCTGTGTCATAAATGCCAAGATGAATTCCAGGTTTATTTTACAGCATGACACCGGATAAAACTATTGTCCCAGAAGATAGTTGAAGGGCTTCGAAAAAGACAAGGTGAGTTGCATTTGGCTTGTTGGAATTTGTGGGATCAATGGAATAACTGGCTTGTTTGTCAGACTCGCATCACAGTGGCTCTGACGGCAAATGCTGATGGATATGATAAGCTCCCTCCATTCTTCATCGGCCGTGCAAAGAAGCCTCGTTGCTTTCAACGGAAGTCAGGAGAAGTGCTCGGGTTTCTTTATCGCTACAACAAGAAAGCCTAAATGCCTGGGGTCCTTTTTCAGGAATGGCTTGGAAACCTGGACAGAGACATGAAGGTAATTTAACATTTGCCCGTTCTGAGATATCAGCTGTAAAACAAAGCGCTTACTCATATTCTAGCTCCAGGATAAAAAAATCCTTCTGCTTATGGGCGATGCACCTTCGCAAGTAACTTTGGATCTTGTGCTCACCAACGTCACCGTTCAGGCTCTTCCGCCCAAAACCACATCCAAGGTGCAGCCAATGGACGCTGGTACAACGCTGCATTCAAGCGCCACTACCGGCGTCTGCACCTACAGAACGCTTTGGATCGCGATGTTGCGAAAGCGGCCAATCATTACAGAGTTAATCAAGTCACAGCCATGCGTTGGTCAATTATGGCGTGGAGCAAGATTTTGAGCACCACCACTGCGAGTTGCTTCAAGCACACTGGACTCATGAATGGGCCGACTTCACCAGCAGTTGAAGGGGGCGCTTCAGCAGGGGACATTCAGCAGCCTGTGCAACAGGATGCAGATCTGGTAGACCAGGAGGATCAGGAAGTGGATAAGGATCTAGAGTCAGCTCTGCAACGCCTGCCTTTGCGCAATCCGATGTCTATTGCGTCACAGCTCAATCCAGTTGATGAGGAGCCGACGGTGCATGCGGAGTAACGCGACGCCGAGATCATCAAGCTCGTCCAGGATGCTGAGGAGGAGGAAGGAGAAGCTGAAGAAAATGTGGTAACACATTCCATTGCTGAGAAGCTCGCTGCTCTTGCTTTGTCCATTTCCCTCCTTGATCTCTCCCAGGATCGAGACCGCGCCGCCCACCGCGCTCTTCGTCGCATTCAAGCCCAACTTCGAAGTGCTAATACAATCCAAACCACACTGAATATCATGGCTTAAATAGGCTCCAGGATGCTACAAACAATATTCATCTACTCTTGACAAAAAAATTGCTCCCCCTGATACGTTATATTGGGCCCGGGCGGGTGTTCCATATTTCGTATTCCATAGTCGCCAAAGAACGGCGTCGGTGGACCCGAAATCGTATAACATAATCGGAGGTTATAACCATGGAGGGATGACTTATGGGGGGACGACTGTATGGTTAAAAAAATTCATTATGCTAGTTAGAGTAGAAAGAGTAATTTAGGCTAAATCCTAAAAAAAGAGACTGAAAACTAGGCCGGGCCAAGAATTACAGTAAAAACGAGATACCCGAACCCGCCAACCACAGCCAATCAAGACACAACAGGAAGTAGAAGAACCGACCGAAAATCAAGAGATGACCCCCGCGGCGGATATCCCGCAGGCGGCGAGACCCGCCACATGCGGAGAGGATGCAGAGCGCCAGTCGACAGCAACGGGCACAGATCAAGGCGGCGGACCGGCGACGCCACCCGAGGAGCAGCTAACCGCGACCCAGCAGTTGTTGGCCAGGATAGCGGCTGGTCAGGAGACGCTCGCCGGGATGAAACGGCGCAGGAAGCAGGAGCTGAAGGCCGCACGCGAGAAGGATCCCCGACCGGACTTGGACCAGTTCGAGACGCGTGCCGTGTTCCAGAAGAGGGCCAAGAAAGGCAAAGACCGGCTGGGGCTGAGACGGGTGTCGCGGAAGAAGTCCTGGCTGAAGAAGCCGAAGCGAAGTGGGTGCTTCGTGATAGGCGGACCAAAATGGCCACCAGCAGCCCCGGTCAAATTGACGGAGGAAGACGAAGACGACAGCGACGCGGAAGGAGATGACGGAGACGGCGACTACGACTTTGGCGGAGGCGAAGACGCGCAAGACGACGGCGACGGCGAAGACGAAGAAGGAAGCAACTACGACCACATCGAGGAGGACGACGGCGGAGAGGCGAGCGGAAGAGAAACTGCGACGGAGACGCCCGGGCCGACGGCGGAACAGCAGGACAACCAAGCCCAGAGTGCCACGCGCCAGTGGTTGATCGACCACGTGCCTGTGGGCGAGGCGGTACCGTGGCCTGCGGACATCCAACGGACGCTCACGATGTTGAACCCGGACAACATATCGTTCCGGATGGACGGTGCGCGGGAGGAGAAATGCGGCTGCGAACGAAGATGTTTTCTTGGTTGGTGCAAGAATGCCCGCGAGGCGCAAGTGTGTAAGGCCGAGACCTGTTCGGTAGGGGCCAAGGGTTGTGAGAACCGGTTCCGTCAGCGACGGCTGACCCTGAAGCGGACCGACATGGGGTTGGGGGTGTTCGCAGCCCGCTCGATCCGAGCGGGCGACGTCGTGTGCCAGTACTACGGGAAGTACGCACATGAAGTATCCCCGTACGCCCATTACACGATCGAGCTGACGGAGAGGGACGCCAACGGGCGGCGAGTGTATGTGTGCGCTGAGGACTGCGGCTCGATCGCGCGGTTCGTAGCACACGCCTGCCAGCCAAACACCAATTTCTTGGAAGTGAGAGGGATACGGAGGCCGATCATAACCCTCTTGGCGCAGGTCGACATTCGGATCGGGACAGAGATCACGGTGGACTATACCGGGGCGACATGGGAGGCGTTGTGGTTCCAGTGCCAGTGCGCCGTCCATCAAGCCCAAGACGCGACAACGTAGGCGGTGAGTAAGTAGATCAAAAATTGCCCTAGCAGGGGTAGAGATGAGTAGCGAGCTGGAAGTAGTGAAGGGTGAAGGGGATAGCCCGGAACCACAGGGAATTAACCCAACAAATACAGAAAGTTTCCATCCAAAGCGGAACCGTAGGCAGTGGTGGTCGGTGAGAAAACACCCACCCACCGCGCGAAGACCCAGAAGCGACATATAGACGGCAAGAATAGCACTGTAGGAAGTACGCTCAGCCATCAAAAGGGTCGCACCAGTTGGAGAAATGGAGCAATCAGGTCGCATAGGTCGCCAGATAGTCCAAAAACTTATAGTATCGAAAAGTAACCCCAGGCAGTGGTGGTCGGTGAGAAAACACCCACCTACCGCGCGAAGACCCAGAAGCGACATATAGACGGCAAGAATAGCACTGTAGGAAGTACGCTCAGCCATCAAAAAGGTCGAACCAGGGGACGACTGTATGCACTCCTGGCAGAACCAGTTTCATCGTCACAACCCTATTTCAATGACCTTAATGTTAGTAAAAACGAAAGACTGTCAGCCAACTGACACAGTTTACTCCCGGAAACGTTGAGACAAACGCGTTCACGTGTTACTTCTTGACTATCTATAGCAACTAGCAGCCTAGAGGTGAGCGTTCTTGATCAGATTCAGTACTTTAGCGAGCCCGAAGGATGAAGCTATTAGTTAGTGTGTGCTAGGTTGAATGCCAAACTTTCAAATTGTACTCATCTTTGTAAGTCTGTCTGTCTGTCGGGCTGTTTATAACGCGGCTGGGCGTAGCTGGGCCATACTAAGTGCGATCTAGCCATCCCCGACCGCATAGGTACGTAGACATATCCGGAGTCATTCTTTGACAAGGTCACAATTGTGGCGCACGCTTGCAAGTAGCCTAAGATCGATTGAGGGTGAATTTGATCACACGAGCAAATGCCGGACTCTCATAAGCAAAGGCCGATCGCGTTGCCCAAGTATACTGTACTGAATGAATACCGAACTTGAGAGCATCATACTCATTCTTTAGTGACTGCCGCTGTTGTATTTTATTCTGCATCTTGATTCATTTCCATGAATTGAATTACCTGTATCAAAGGGCGGTCTCCAGAGCTTGCCCCTCTATCTTATAGAGTGGGTACAAGATAGGGCAGCAAGCTCTGGAGCTCGCCCTTTGATTTAAGTAATTCTGCTCGAAGGAGATTCAATCGAGATTATCAGGATTGCATGAAGAACTACTAACACCGAACCTTCGGTTTATTTTGGCTTCCGTTATTGTGCCTTGCCTATCGAAATGCCCACTGACCTAACGAGCACCGACGCAAGCTCGGTCCTACCTCCACTAGTGGGTTTCAAACCTGAGTTTTGCGTGAAAAGTAAATCAGCCTGATAACGCCCTTTTTACAGCCCTGGCTTATATACCCGTGTCTCAGACCTTATGGCACAGCTTGATAACAGTCACAAATACCCTACCCTTCAGCTAAGCACCAATTCATCCGTGAAGCAGAGCAGACGATTGCCTCAGCTCTTGCCTCTCACTGTCTGGCCTGCGAGGCTGCCTTGCACAATAATCGTAAACCCTGCGACGAGGTTTAGCTTCTTTTTGGCGGCGATGCCGATTGCATTGAAGAGATCTTGATTGCAGCGGGCCATCTGCGCCACGTCATGCCGCGATACCGTTCGCCAAAAAAGCGTGCATACATGGACCAGACCTTCTTTTGTACCCTGCCGTTCGACTTTCGCCAACAATATCGCATGGATACGACTTTTCTATTGAAGCTCTGCGAGCTTATCGGCGAATGTGAGGTCGTTCATAACCAGATCACCTGTAAGTAAGCCCTAGTTAGCCTCTAAATCGTGAGCGCTCTCTAACGTCTAGGCAATGCGGAAACGGCGCGAGTCTTGGGTCTTTTAAACGCGCGTGTGGTATCGGGCATGGGATCACTTCGCTCTTCACCACACGCGTCATTACGGCACCTAATGACCAGGTCGCAGAAGTGATCACCTGGCCATTACAAAACAAATAGCGCGTATCAAGACTTACACCGCCGACGATGGTTCTTTTTGGCTGTATCATAATTTATTAACGATACAACGTTTCCGCTCGCGCAACGACCGGCGCAGTGCGGCGAGACGTATTTCGATTGTAAGCACCACTACTCAGTAAATGGGTCAGGTCGTTTGTGATCACCGACGCAGTATAATCAGGCTTTTCGTTGGCCTTCCAGGCTCTTGCGTAGACATCACCTGCTATCGGCAGATGGACATCTGCAAAAACCCGGGGTTGTATAATAGTGAAGGCGAGTACCCCCTAGCGGAATCTGGTCACCCGGTCACAACCGCCATTGTGCCAGTGTACAAGGGCCACGGCAAGAGGTGAACAGCCGCTTGGACATGTGTGTCTCGTATGTCAGAGTTGTCAACGAGAACTGCATTGGAACTCTGAAGGTGCGCTTTTCGTCCCTCCGCAAATCAGGACTCAGATCAAGGGGAGACAGCGACACAAGACATGGACAGCCTCTGCCACTGGGTTACCGCTTGTGCAGTCTTGTACAACCTGCTCCTTATTCGGGACAATTGCTGGGATGCATGCGACGAGGAAGTTGCTGATGGGGGGCTGGATCAGGTACAGCAACTTGCGGAAGGAGAGGAAATGAGATCAAAGCGTGAGCACGACTGAAGGGCGATCGTTTCTTAAGGAGGTGAAGCAGCATTGCCTTGCAGCACAGCTAGAAAACACTGATTCGTTCTTAAACCACCGATAAGCACAGATGTAATACTCGATACCATTTCTAAGTAACACCCATAAACTTTTTTGTCTCTGTAAGCGTCTTTCCAGCTTTATAAGTTGCCTCAACAGAGCATCACGCTCTCGATCGAGCTGTCTTTCCTGGTCTCTCTCCTTGAGCCTCATATCCGCTGTGAAACGGTCTCGCTCGAGAGCAAGCCGGCTTTTCTCGAAGTAACTCGTGTTAACGAGGTAATCCTTCATCACAGCATCGCGGCAACCAAACAATCTCCTGCCAGGCCGCCTCCGTGTTCCTTTGCTTTTCCCCCGTGGGATTCCTTTTGCGTCTTGGGTGGAGGCCGGTGGAAGTGAAAGCGTTCTCCTTTTTCTCCCTGGTACCCGGCGAGTGCTGGGTACTAGGCTCTGGGCGCGATGGGCCAGCCAATGAGGCTGGCTGATCTTCTTCGCTCGACGGCTCGCCAGTTGACGCTGCTGCGGGTTCGAGAAGTCAGAGAACGCTGTTGAGGATATCACCAACATGGCCAAGTACGTTGATGTCAGCATTGCACTCGGCTTCATCAATGCTGGTGCGGTCAGGGATGTTGGTGCCGTGTTGGCCATTGGCGGCGGAATCAGGATCGCTGACATCGATGATGCCATCGATGTCAGCAACATCAGCAAGTTCGGATGTGTGGCTCCAGGTGTCGGCGATATCGTTGCTGCCTCCGATTTTGATGCCATTCTTGTGGCTAATGTTACTGTTGCGCATACTGTCGTTGCTGTTTCTGTTGCCGTTCCGCTTGTTTCATGTAACGCGTCATCACATAATGCAATGCTGCTCGCGTCGCGTAATGTTTTCTTCATGCCATAGTATCGTCCAACTTCGCGAGAGGCTGGTGGATTCACGTTGCCACGGTCGCTGTACAGATCGGGCATGCGATTAGTACAGAGACAACATCTACTCAAACCTGGCACGAATGGTTAATATGCCCTTGGCCTTGTCGTCAACTCTTAACTCCAAAGCCTATCTTTAATCTTGTGGCTTGTTTAGCCTTAAAATCTTTAGGTCGTATTTGTGCCTAAAACGCAGGCTTCCGATTTGAGGAGGATGAACTATAAAAAAGATATTGAGATAATCAAAGTTATCAACCTACCGTTGCGGCATCTTCTTTCCATTCAAGTTTTGTATCTTTAATTTGGCTTTTGTGCTCAGGCGGTGGGCCAGCTTTTTGTAGTAATCTGCTTAGTTCTGTTTGTCACCTCTCTTTTGACCTGCTTCCGTGAATTATAGCAAAGTTTGCGTCGTACTTCAACTATTCGAAAAGGATAATGTAGTGATCTTTTTTTTTTTAGATCGTACAGCACCATCGGCAGGCTGTTTTTGCAGCCACGCGCTTTGCCATAGCCGCTTGAATAGCTTATAGTGGTAGGGCGCGTTGTTGTGAGTGTTAATGGGGGAGTGGGTGAGTAAATATTTTAGTCTACTTCTGCCCACGAAGGCTTATTACCAAAAATGATTATACTTCATTTACGGAGGTGTGCGATAAAGTTATCTGCTTGATGAATCTGTAGCTTTGGCTTATAATCGCTAGTTTTCCCAGGTTCACCACTCCCTACTGTTTACATTATGCCATGCGAAAATAAAGTCCTTCTCCCATCTTCTCGTATTTTTTCCTTATGTTCCCTGCCTATGATACTGCTTTTGTAGCAAAGCTACTTAGCGCTCCTTAACCGAGGAAGACTTAGACTCAAAGTGTAGCGGAGCTACTTAGCGCTCCTTAACAAAGGAAATCTTAGACCCAAAGAATCTTTTAGTAATGACATACTAATAACGACGTACAGTCTTTCAAGCGTACAAGCTTAACGATCCGGGATTCAAAGGGATTACGATGTACAGAATCACACACTAACTAGAGAGTACCTTAGACAAGATTAAACGCTTTGACAAGGCTACTGCTCTGACAACAGCAATACGCCTTGACTAGGCACTTGTGTCCAGCGATATCAATAGGAGAAATGCCTTTTTTAATTATTCCTTTAACTACAGTTAGTACAACCGTTAAACCTTGTCTGACTGACTACTACGTTGCGATTTTATAACAGAAGTCTGGTCCCTTATCCTTACCCGGTAAGGTGCGGTATTACCGTAAGTACGTGGTACCAAGACTGTACCACTCAGATCCACCGATCTTTACTTGGTGTGGACACACAACATGACTGGTTCAAATAACCGCTTGTAACCCCGTCACACCACCCCCTCACCACACTGTCGACACCAGGGCCTCGACAATTCTACTACTGCGCTTTGAGGGTCTATCAAAGCTCTGGTCCTTGACCATCGTGTTCACAACACATCTCAAATGACTGAGTCAAAGCCTTGGTCCAACACCCTGAGAAAAATCCTCAAAAAAAGTATGCTGGACTATGAGAGTGACACCGTTGCGTCGAGTGTCTACGAACACCCCCGAGCTACGCAACCGGCGTGTGACAATACACACATCGTGCCTAATTCATTCATGGAGCGAGGAGGCACCTTGATCTCTTGCACAGCGTGCAGCCGTCGACCCTGCGTTGGTTGTGCTGCAAAACACTATTGATGAAGATCAAGATCAATATCTTCCGTCAGTCGATGATCGCAGGCGTCAAGCACAATGTGTAGCCACAGCGTATGCTCACAGTGTTTACTGCTTCAATCCACCGAGTCTGGATAAACGCATTCGTCAGACTTCCGGGCAGTCACTCGCCACATGGATCACGGGATCCAAGGCTGCCACAGCCACAGCACTAGCGGAGAGGGAGGCTCTCAGAGCGAGATACCTGGGGTTCGAGTGTATCACTGTTTATTATTATCTCGACAGGCTGAATCTGCAAGCACGAGGTGCGCCAGTGTCCGCCATGCGGACAGTGCCCGTCGTTCTCTTTCCTACTGGGACGACAGGCAGAAAATGTATATCTTCTTCTCGCGTTGGGCTCACCGAGCTTGCCGTCTGCCAAGCCTATCGAATCCCCAAGAGAGCGCTTCACTTGCTATCGTTCTGCTTGGACGAAAGATGCACTTTGATTTCGCAAAACAAAAGGCCTAAAGTCCAACTACTATCGTTCTACCGCATTCGCTATGCTGCGGCATCTAAGGACCCGCATATCAGTGCACCTGCTGCAGCTGCAACCTCCTTTACTCCCACACCGACTCGTGGGAAGCGGAATGGGTCGACTGACCCTGATAGACGACGCTTAAAAACGTCAACGGCATACGGACAATCCCGCCACATTGGCACTTTGTACTCCCTTGAGTTCTCCGACTCCGGGTACCCCCTCCACTATACCAAGTACTGGTACTGATCGTCGCGACAACGTCTATGCAGGATTATTTTACCATAGTACTGTCGATCTCCTTGCTCGTCAATAAGAGCTGGCGGTGGTCGGTGAATCCCGACGCTTCGTCGACGAGTTAGTGCAAGAGGTAAACGGTTTGCTTGACCGAGTGTCGCGTCTTAAAGAACAACTGGATCATCTCTTGAGATTTACTCGACTTGTGGCAGCGCCGACTCTTTTGGCGCAAGCGCCTCGTGATCCAACCGCGACGGAAAGCATTGGTTGTGTTCGCATCTTGCGTGGGGTGTTAAGTGTATACGCTAGGCCCTTCTTGGCCACAACCTTAAAGGGCTCAATGAAGCGAGGACGCAACTTGGTCCTGCATACCGCTCACACCACCTTAGTAGGTAAATCCTTAGCGTTAAGTAAGACATGGTCATCAACATCATAACTCTTTATACGCTTTATGCATAGGGCATCAGCTTGTTCCTTTCGTTTGTGCTGGATATCAGCCATTGCATCACTTCCATATCGTAGACATTCAATCGCGTTGCTAGAGACTTGCTCACCTGTTTCTGAACAGTAGTTAGGCTGACATCAGCAAGCCAATCGGCTATTTCTTTCTCACCAAGCCCAGAATGTCGTAGGGAACGCATTAATGGAACGCGTGGGTGGGTGATACCATTCACGTAGAAAGGAGTAAATCCCCTGGATGCATGAACAGCGTTATTTAACGCAAAATCGACCACCGGGAGCATAGAGCTCCAACGCCAAGGCGTCTCAGCACAAAAGCTGGGCAAATGTCACCAATGACACGGTTAACAAGCTCATTTCGACAATCGGTCTATGGATGGATCGCTATGGACATGTCCAACCTGGTGCACAGCACCTTGAGGATGGAAGTCCAACACTTGCCAGGGAAACGTGGAGCAGAGCCAATTGCCACAGGCAAATCGTGTTGACGAAACGCACGATCGATAAACAGATTTGCTCTACCTTCACCATCGATAGAATCAGGCACAACCGTTAAATGAGCCATATAGCTCAAACGGTTAGCAAATACCACAATGCCAGTGCTTACTTCCGAATCATTCGGTAGGTTAAACACAAAGTCTATGCTGATGGACTTCAAATATCCAGTAGCTACAGGCTGACTATCAAGCAGTGCAACCGCCTGTGCTGATGGTTTAACCGGAAACGCGTTTCACATGTACTCACATAGGTGATTTACTCATTTGTACAACTTGTGCCACCAATACGTCTGGCTAACTGAGCTTTAGGTCTTCTCACGACCGAGTTGACCGCTTAAAGCAGTGGCTTGTCCTTCAAACATGATACGACACTTCAAGTTTTCATCATGAGAAACAACGATGCGAGGCACATCGTCAACACCCATGCACCCACCATCGATGACACAATGATGTAGGCTGGCACTTAAACGTGCCGAAACTTTAAATGTCCGAGTCTTGGAGTTCATCGCTTTCAAGAGCATGTAGCTAATGCTACATATTGCTCATCACGTGTGCCGCACGAATCACATTCACAATAGATGACGACAGAGTCGTAATATGAGCAAGCTCGATAATCAGGTCTGCGTGACAAAGCATCGGCCAAAGCGTTTTGCTTGCCCGGCATATAATTCACCTTCAAGCTGTATTAAACAAAGAATGAAAGCCAACGGGACATACGTTGTGATAGTTGAGGCGACTGTGTCGTAGTGTGTAATGACGCATGATCTTTGAAGATCAAAAAAGGCTTTGATCCAAGTAGATGGACTCTGAACTTGGCAAGAGCACTTTTCATTGCGAGTAACCCCCTGTCGTGAACTGGATAGTTCGTCTCTGCAGCCTTGAGCTGACGAGATTCAGGCGCAATGACGCGCTCATGTCCATCGACATCCTTCTGCACAACCAATAGCAAAATCAGACGCGTCACAGATGACACTGAAAGGCAGATCAGGGTCATGCAAAGCTAAAATTAGAGCACAAAGGATGCTGTCCTTTGTAACTTCAAGTACTTGAGCACGGACTGCGTCGCAACACCAAACTTCACCCTCAATGAGGAGGTTGATAAATAGCCTTGCCATGTCAGCGTAGTTAGCACTGTACTTGTGAAAATTACTTAGCAGGGCCGAGCCATTTGCGTAAGTCTTAATGGCTCGACGGAGCCGGCCAATAAATACTCGACTTTGCCTTAGCGGGGTCCGCTCGAAAGCCACGTTTTCCAATGAAGCACCCAAGAATTATATTTATTCTGCAACAAAAACGCATTTTGATGCATTTTCACACCGCTTGTTTGTACTCAGACACTCGAACACTGCTCTTTAAGGGTCATTGTGATTGTCCACATCTGACCTACCATGGTCTGCACGGCGATGGAAAAAGATGTCGTCGAAGTAGCTTTGTGCATATCATCGGTGAGGATGGAAAATATTGCGTCACAAGACGAACTAAATTAGCCAGGACATTAGACAGCCCTTGAGCACAACAAGCTACTCCCGAAGCATGCAACTTGAAGTTTTAATCGACGTGAGAGGAATATCACTCGTTCGCATGAGCA